CTGTGGTTGCGACTACACAAGGCATAAGATTGCATACAGAAATGACATGCAAGGGTAATACTGGTCATATAACAAATAATGTGATGATGGTTAATATAACTTGTTCCTAAAATTCCTCTAATGTTCTTACATCGTGTTTTCATTTCTGTTTTTCAACACGGAACTTTCCCACAGCGGAGATGGACATCCAAACTAGGCTGTTCTCAGGCCTTTGTCTTATATGTCCATTTAAACTTGGTCCTATATTATGCCACGTGATTAAAAAATGGGTGTGAGGCAACATGGAACACAGAAAGAGTGTGCCCTTTTAACAAATAATCTTCTAATACTAAGACCTAACTAAAAGCTGCTACTTTTAAATTATCAGTGAAATATAAGATGAGGATGAGAACGAAGCGAAGACAACCACAGGCGATATGAAAAGGCAGCCCAGGAAGTTCTGAGTCACACCCTGCCTCCGGCCCCTCATTGAGGTCCGCTGCCCTGCAGGGTGGTGATGGCTACAACTGATTCCTTTGGTTCCTGAAGCTGAGCCATGGGCTTACATGTTTATTCAACACAGTGATACAAATCATCAAATAGAGAAAATTAGAAAGATGATCATCACAATTCGTTTTTATCAGATCTAAGATCAAAATTAATAGAAAAGGAGGAAAATATGTTTTAGTAAGCCATCCCTTACATTATAAATGGAAAACCAATTTGTTTATTGATACATCATCTACCACTTTGCATAGCGTATCCCATAAGGTGAGATAAAGTTGCTCACGACCAGGAAAGGCACGGCCCTGGCCCACTGTGAGTCAGGGGAAATGGGGTTAGACATGGTGCTGCGGGGAAGGGCAGCTCACCCACACCCTATGAGAACTAAGAGTCTGGCCAGGGCACTGATATGCACTGATGCAGGAATTAACAAAAGATGGTACACTAGGCCTTTGCTCAATGTCTCTTCAACTTAGTTTCAGTTGAAGAGAAGTTCCTCCCAAATAGGGAGTAAAAAAAAAAACACACTCTCAATTCTAAGATATTTGCAATTCTTAATATTTTGGGTATACTTTGCTAATCCAGTTTTGTCTCTACCAGCTGGCTATTTCAGATATGAGAATTGGTTTAGAAACCCACAGATCTCAGGTTTGTTTGTTTTTTCCATTAGTCCAAATATATACTCACTCCCAACAATGTGGAGGTTGGGGGAAAGGAGGACATGCTTACCACAAATAATACCCAATAATTTATTTACAGTATTTCATTTCATTTGATATTAGAAACATGTCAGTCCCTTTGGCCTTCCCTGACCACCTTCCCTTTCTAGTCTAATCCCAGGAAAGCTCCATGTGCCTGACGTAGCACCTGATTCTGACCTCTTCCCACTCACTGGCCACAGGTAGTTGAATTAGTGTCAGGGAGCGAGTCAAGGTTGGACTGACCCAAAGAGAGATTCTCTCTCTAAAAGACTTGAACCAAGAGACAAAAATACTCTAGTCAGATGATGATTACCATTTAAACCTAAAAGCTAGAGTTAGGGGCCATAATTTCCTCCATGTACATACAAAGGAGTAAAAAGAGAAATCCACTTGCAAAAAGAAAACATATTTAAAAGCTCAGAAAGAAGCAGAGAGGAGAGACTATGGGGCTTCAAGAGAAATCAATATGGAAAAGTAATGACTTGCATGTGAGACTCTGCTATATTTCCTGGTTTTCATTTGCATAAAATTCTTTTACATGTTTTCAACAAATCCTCTTTTTAGTTGAGATGGTTTGAGAAGTTTTTGTTGCAGAGAATCACTTTAGTCAGACGAAGGTTGGCAAACTTTCTGTAAAGGGCCAAATAGTCAGCATTTCAGGCTTTCCGAGTCTTATGGTCCCTGCCTCAACTCAGCTCTGCTATTGTAACAGGAAAGCAGCCACAGGCAATGTATGAACAAACAGATGTGGCTGTGTTCCAGTAAAACTTTATTTACAAAAACATGCAGATTTGGTTCAGGACCTCTCGTTTGCCAACTCCCTGGTCTAGAAAGTCAACAAGACAGTAAGTCCAGATATGCCAACTTCTGACTACGGCCAATTTCAAGTTACAATAAGCCATCACTGAACATGGACTTTGGAGGAGATGCACAGTAGTAATCCAGTCTGGAGTGCTTCCATGTGACAGACACAATAGGCGTAAATAACTGCAAGGAGCTTAAGTAACTGTAAAATGTAATAAAATGATTGGGGAAGTGAAAAGTATTTATTACATTTGTTTTTTTAATATGACCTATTTGATTGTAAATCCACATAATTTAGTTTTCATTAATAACAGTATTTAACAATTGGCTCACAAAATTCCTGAAAATTTCACAATCAGCACTCTCCAGCCAATAGGAGCCAGCGTCAGCACACCGGGGCAATGAAATCACAGCCTCTGGAGGTCGGGGCACTGACGTTTCTAAGAATCTCCAGATGAGTCTAATACGCCGCTGCACTAAGGCCGGAGGGTGGGGTTGGTGTCCAGATTTCTTGGGATATGAGAAGAGGAATTTATTCCCTGAGAGAAATAGGATGTTAAAAGGGGATAAACAGGGGAGAAAAGAGAGAGAAGCAAATGAGTCTGTTTACTCAGCAAATAGTCATAAAGAAGAATGCCTTGGAGGAAAAAGAGAGAATTCTGACACTACTAAGGTGACCGATGCCCTAGTTGGCCTGGAACTGAGCGGTTTCCTGGATGCGGGATTGTCAGTGCTAAAATCAGAAGAGTTACTGGCATGCCACTGGAGACACTGGATATTTTTTAACTTTAATTAATTTTTATAATTCAAACTTAAATAACTTCATGTGGCTACTGGCTACTATATTGTACAACACAGTGCACACTAACAAATACAAAATGGCTTCTTTGCATATATAAATTTCCTCTTTTGTTTGCCGATACGGAAATAAGTCTGAAGCATATTAAAAGGGCAATATATGAGAGAAACAATTCAGATTCTAAAGTTAAATATTTGCTACCCTCTCGCAGTAGGAGTGTAAAATAATGCAGTCACTATGGAAAATAATATAGCAGGTCCACAAAAAAATAAAAATAGAACTACAATGTGACACAGTATTCCACTTCTGGGAATTTACCTAAAGAAAACAAAAACACATTTAAAAAGATATATGCACCCCTATGTTCATCACAACATTATTTACAATAGTCAATATATGGACGCACGAGGGGACAATTAATAGATGAATGGATAAAGAAGACATGGAACATTATTCAATAATAAAAAAGAACAAAATCCTGCTGTTTGCTACAATTAAGTTGGATGCAGAAAGACAAATACCATGTGATTTCATTTATATGTAGAATCTAAAAGAACAAAACACAGAAAACAAATCGGAAACAGACTCATAAATACAGAGAGCAAACTGACGGTTGCCAGGGGAGGGGCGAGGCTGGTGGGTGAGCAAGGTGACAAGGAATAAGAGGGGCAAACTGCCAGTAATAAAACAACTAAGTCACATGGATGTAATGCACAGTACAGGAAATGCAGTCACTAATAGCATCATAACTACAGCTGAAATTAACATACTATTATATGCTCATTATATTTTTTAAAACTATTTACTATCAACTCCATGTGCTAAACATGACAGAAATTATTCAGAAAAACACACTAAATTTGTGAGATTAAAGACACTGCTATTGTTTCCAGGTCATGTGGTATTTGCTGATACCAGTAGGTGGGGATGAATGGCATTCGGGCTCCACATTCCCTCACCCAGTTCCTTTCTTAATCAACAGCAAGTACAAAATTCGTGGCAAAATGGCGCAATGGATTTGTAACCAAGTCAACACTCTGGAAAAGAACAATGCTACTGCACTATAAAAACCCTTGACCTTGATGTCCTGAACATCACTCCCTAAACCTTTACCTGACTAACACAACCTATGAGAAATAAATAAATTAGCATGTTTATCATCGAATTACATTTCCTGAAAGGTCAATTTTTATGTGGTAATATTCTTATTCAAAATATAAACATGGGAATGCCATTAAAAGAAACAAGTTATAGGCAAAAATATAATGCTTATAATGTTATTTTCAGAATAAAAATGAATGTTAAGAAAGAAGAATTATAGAGGTAAAAGCTGATCAAAATACAATTACTTTGAATGCTACCACATTCAAATATAAATATAATCAAAAGAAATGAATTGGTTGAGATATAGTAATGGTCCCTTAAATGGAAAGGGCCAGACTTTGAATAATTCAAATTTTAATAATATTAGTCTTTTGAAATATGGAATGTGAAATTATAAAACAATAATAATTTGACAGACTTAACACGGAGACTCCATTATGAAGAAAATATTTAAACTCCCGGAGCTTCCAGTATCTAAACCACTTTAGTCAGGTATGACTTATTTTTTTCTCTTCTGAAGATGCAATAGCAAATATTAGTCAAGGACATTTAGCCATCTTGTCCTGACAAATAACCAGTTCACCTTTTTGCCCAGCATATTCTTAGGTATTGATTTTATCAAGTGAACTCAGACATGTGTCACACTTATCCAACACTGATTCTTTTCCTTGGAAATGTAGCTTGAACATCAATCAGCAACTTGGCCTTTCACCTCTAATTCCTATTGCCACTGTCTGTCAATTATTAAAGTTTGCCCATTTCTCCAAATAAGCTGGTTTCAAAAACTGAAATATATAGTTAGTCCTGTGAAAAATACGTTTCTTGGAAAAGTTTGCAAATGCTCACAATTAAATTTCTTCACTAAAATTCCTTGTCTGGATTGAAAACTAGTTGAAGTTTATAAATTTACATTTCAAAGGCCTCTTGGTATTTTCTTTTAAAATATATCTCCTGAATGGTAATATTAGCACTTGTAAACCAAACTCCAGTTTGAGGGAGACAACATAAAAAGAAATTCAAGCTGAGCGGTATTATTACACGGATCCTCAAACAGAGCGGACTGTTTTGTTTTCGGCTGAACCCAGTGCAAGCCACAGAATGACACCCACCTTGAGCTGCAGGCCTCTTGGGATAAGAGCGTTTGCTGGAAGGCTTTTAATGTGTTGGTAGACATAAGAGGAGAATTGCTCCTGCTCAGCCTGTAATTGGGGGCTGAGTTTAGAGAGATGACCTCTGTTGCTTTTGATAGCTGTCTGCAATTCATCAATCAGCCTGCTCACCTGAAGGGGTTAAATTACAAGAGCTATTAGCAAGAAGTAATTGTTGATGTCACACCTATTAGATTCTTGAGTACCTAGTTAGATGGGGGGAAATTACTTCAATACAAAGATTTGAGTATAGATTTATCTTCAAGTAAGGAGACTGGGAGAGACATACATTCCTTCATCAACTAATTTTATTGATAGGAAATTTGTAACTTTTGCACTTCAGTAATATGAAATAGGTAGTCATTTATAGTGGCTGAATTAAAAATATCTCTGAGTATTTTGACAAGTTTGCCAAAAACTTTCAAACTGCTTAAAAGGATAAAACCTCTTTAAGACTTTAAATAATGCAATGTAGGTGCCAACGACATTTACTTTTGTTATATATACATTCATTTTTAGAATATTTTATTTTACCATCTATATGTGATATTTAATTTTTAATATTAATTTCATTAATATTAATTGGCCATTTAAATAAATAATTTTCCAAATTTTTGAGATATAATTTTTCACAATAACCACATTTCAAAGATAATGCTTTATTCTAACAATATCTTGAAAATATATCAATTTCTGAATAATTCATAGAACTTTTCCAGAAACAGCAAGGGCTTAGAAACATGTCCCTTTATTTTTAAATTTCTAGATTTATAATCAGCACAGATCAAGATATAAACTTGACCTATGGATTGTCAAGAAGACATGCTGAGGATTCAGAAATAACAAGTGAATGTTATCATCCATACAGTTTACAAATTAAAAATCATTATCATTTTTTGACTCTTTATTGTATTTTGTAAATTTATATTCTAATAGATAGGATTCTTACATAAATAATTGTCAATATTTGATAGTGACCCAAAAAGATGAAAAGCAGAAATTCACTTTATCCATGGCTCTGCAAAATTGATTAAATTAGACCCATTCAGAATTATGAATGGCTCTGAATAGAGCATGGACTTTTTGAAATCTTGGGCTAAAATCCTGGCTCTCTTATTTACTGACTGAGAGACTCTGAACAGGTAACAAAAGGCTTAATTCATAAGTTCAAAAATAAAAATCTTTGTCCATCCATAAACACTGGTCTTACCATATTAAAAATTAAATGAGATGAAAGAATGGGCAGCACAATGTCTAACCTATAGTAGATGGCTTGTGCACAAGTTATATCGTTATTATTTTCATGTGTAAGTGTTTTCTGCATATTAAGTTCTCATTGTTTTTCTTGGTCTTTCTATTCCAACCTTATTTCACATGAAGCTGATAAAAATTTGAAACTATTTTTTACACAGATTCTCCAACCCACCTCAATGTCTAGGTAGAAATAAATATATATATGTATTGTTATATTATTGTTGACTAATATTAGTTAAACTATATTTTACTTTCCCAAGAAATTTAGAAGCATTATAAACAAGCTACTTCAAATGATTCCTATTTTTCTTTGGTCTCTCATCTCTCTCTTATTTGTCCCCATGAGATTAATCATCTACTCCCTCTAAACAATCTTTTCTTCTAAGTAAAAGATTGATAAGTTTTCTCTTTAAGGGCCAGATAATAAACACCTTCAGCTTTATGAGCCAGAATGTCTTCATCATGACCCTGTAGTTGCAGTTTGAAAGCAGGCACAGTCCATGTGTCAGCAATACGTTCCAATAAAACTTTCTTCAGAAAAACAAGTGATGGTCTGGGTTTGGCCCCAGGACTGCAGTTTGCCAGTCCTTCTTCTAAATGCATATGTTTCTTCGCCTTTATTTATTTCTTTCCTTATAAGGGATACTCTGGTCCAAGCCATCATCTCCTCACCACCCCTTACCCGAACTATCAAAATGCCTCCTGACTGCTCTCCCTGGTCCCTCCCCTCCCAATCCACCCAGCAACCTCAACTGAATTAATATGCCTCCAACAGCAAACTGAAACCTCCAGTTGCTCCCCCAGATTCCACAGCTTGGTATTCAGGATTTAAGATCTTTTCTTACATTCTGGAACAAATTCATGTGCCTTCCATAGTACTGTTAAGCCTTTAAGAAAGTTGGAATATTTAAAATATGAAAATGATAAATGATCCAATATTAGATGTGTTTTCAGCCTCATCTTCACCATACTACCTTCCAGCAGTGTTATCATCAAGAATGATGAATAACAGTATTTATCATTCCAAAACTAGAGACCAAAACAATCCGGCTGACTTGCTCTTACAGTCATCTGACAAAAATTAAAATCAAAGAATCAAAGGCTTTGCATAGAAAGGCTTCATTTCTGGTAAGCACTGATCCTCTCTGAACCTATTCCCAGGGTCATACGAGTCAGGAAGATATAATTTCATGTAGTCTTTAAAGTATACTAAGTATCACACAATGTATTTTGCTAGTCAATAATACTGCTCTCTTTAATTTTATGTACTATTGCTTGTGCTATAGCAAGCCACCAAAAAGAAGAAAAAAGAGGAATATCAGGCTTTGATTTGAGAGCAGTTTCATACGTGACTGGTTTTATTGTCACAATCCATAGCCTTTCACTCATAGGGGATTTCAGGTGACATCAGAAATCAACCAAGCATACAATGATGATGTCATTTGTGGTCTAAAGGGCTGTTGGTTAAAGCTGTAAAAACTTCATTTCCTATGAATTTTTAACTGCTACAAAACAATCTCTCCATGATTTTGCTATTTTCATTGGCCTCATGATTTTTTCTTAATGTTTGTCAAACTTCATTTGACCAATTATTACCTGTTACTAAAAAAAAAAGATAACTTAAAACCATCAAATAAGAGGTTCTAGCAAAAATTAACATATCTTAAAACACATTAGAAAATATATGAAATTTATGTCATTGACATTTTGATGAATTCCATCCAATTTTATTAAAACTTTGTAACTTTACATATTTATAAAGTGTAGCCTCAAAGTGCTACATTATGTTCTCAGTTATTATGATAATATTACCCTTAAAAATAACCCTACGTATGAAGTAAGTCATATACCAAAATAGGTAATTCAATACTTCTGAATTACTTTACATAATATAATTTTTTTTTCAAATCACAGATGTTGGTAAAAGGGGGAAAATGTTCTTTAAAATTCTTCATCACTAATCTTTTTTTCCTGCAAATCCTTTTTTCCCCCTCTCTACAAAGACAATGTGAATAGGGGTAAAAGAAGACAAAACTTGACCTTTTGTGATCCCAGCATTAATGGGTCTGTTCATAATTCAATCTATGTGTGTGTGGGAGCATCCATGTGGAAACATAGAGGCTTGAGAGACATAAAGCCTTTCCCTTTAAACATTATCTGACCCTATCAGTCCCATTCACAAAAGAAGGCTTACGTATGCATATGTTGAAAAAATGCACCATCTCATTGTGCAACAGAAAGCCTACACATTCTACTCTTCATTCTTCGTGGAAATGCTGCACGGAAGTGACACTTGTACAGAATTTGAGAGAGTGACAAATGAGCAGAAGGTAACAAAAAAAAATTGAGTATTCTGAGGAGGAAACAAACTAAACTTCTGAAAGAATGCAAATGAACACCTGTCTATAAACATACGTGTAGGTTTTTGCATAACATGTAGGGCAGTTTGGCCATGGTTTATGATACATTCATGCAACCTTTGCATTTTATTAAATTCACCAGATGATTTAGAGTCAACACAAAATATTTTGTTTATAATCATTCTAAAATGTATACATATGAGGCTGTACATTCTGAACCACACATTCTGAATACTGTACTTGGGCTATAATGAATAACTCTTAGAGAAGCTCTGGGCTTTCTAGTGATGAGTTCAGTTGTCTGGCTGAATTCTATGTGGCCCTGAGTCTGTCTATGACAGAAGGAGGACTCTAGAACACTGCACTGAACTGTCACTTGAAATCAGCACAAGGGGCAGCAGCCTCTATGTTAGGAATGTCATCTTGGCATGTAGTGTACAGGCTGGGCCCAAAGCCAGGTGAGTGTGTAAACTGAAGACCAAGACACTTTGTCATTCACAACATAATTACGAATCAGAAATGGGGACAGAAGTGAAAATGAGTATTTTAAACCTCCTAAAATCTCTTCTTTGTTTTAGGCCCAGGAGTACAGTGTTTTTCAGGCTAATAAGTGAACATAGCCCAGACTTGAATGAGTGCAGACTAGAGAAGACATGGAAACCTGTGAACGAAATTAAGTATCTCTTGATTTAGAAGCTGCAGTATAACTACAAGGAAATATGAATTGTGTACCATGTGTTGTTCCTACCATTTGGATTACTCCCAACTTTTTAATAGTTTCCTAGACCACTTCTGAATGGAAAATATTTTGGAAGGATAGCTATCTTATTTGCAGCCATATGTTCCTAAGGTGCTGCCTTTATTGTAGGCTTATTCAAGAGTCTAACATCCACGGCCACTCGTGAGGAAAGAGGTGATTAAAAATAGAACTATTTTAAATGCCTTTATTATTCACCCAGCAATAGGACTATGTTGATAGCAATGAGGATGATGTCAACTATACCTTTTGAGGGAGCAATAACAATGTGTCTCACTGACCTCTAACTACAGGAGCATAATTAACCAAGGGTCCCAGCCATTGTGCTTTGGAATCCACCACCAAGTTAGTACCCATGGCTAAGCAAAGCCAAGTTCATCCCAGGGAGTCACAGGACACCTCTGATACACAATCTTGGCTCAAGGATACACCACCAGCTTTTCTGAACCCTCCTTAGACTGCAAAACAGTCTAGGATGCTTAAACCCAGACCTCCTATCCTCTTGCCTTCACTTGTGTTCAAAGGAGCCTTTCAGTCAGACATGTTTCCCAGCCTCACCCTCAGCTCTCCTCATTTTCCCTCATAGGCATTTCTTCTAATGAAATTCATACACGTTTATTCCCACCTTGGTATTTAGTTTTCGGACAATCTGGAATAACAGACTTTTAAACCCACAATAATAAATTACATGCAGATTTCCAGTAGACCATTTCCAAAAAGCTTGATGTAGTTTAATATCATCACTTAAAAGTGGTTTTATGACAAATACATTTATTATTATTCCCAGCTTTCATGTGGAGAAATTACATGAAATCAAACCAAATTTTAAGATAAAACTATAGGCAGCAGACATCTAAATCTAAAGTTCAGGTTTTCTAATGTTTAGTTTAGGTTTTGAAATATCTAAATATAGTATTTATAGTATTTTTATTTTTAAAAAGTAAATCATTTATCTTTGTCATTACAACTTCACATCTCTGTATATGAATTAGGGCCAAAGCTTGATGTTGCTGACTTTTTCCAAACAAAATATTAGACATTACAAATCAATAATAATATAATCACTTTCAAACTAGTGATGTAGAAACTGCTCTCATAGTGTTTAGAATATATTTCGAGGTTATGCCACACACATGCGTGCGCACACACACACGCAGAAAAGTACACATTCCCCTCACTGTGCATTTGATTTCCTAAGCAAACAAAAGGCATTTGGAGCCACAGCTGATGAAGCAAATATATACCCAAATAAAGTACTGTGCAGGAAGAATGCTGAAGTATACAGGTACTAAACAGGCATTAAGGCAATAATAAAGAAATACCAAATATGCATAATACTGTTGGATTTTCCAGAGAAGAGAATTTTCATTTCCAGGATTGCTAACAAGGTAGCATTCAGGATGATATATTTCATATAGGTCATTTTCCTGGGCCACTTAAGCTTTGGTTCCATTGAAATTGTAATTTTGCAAAAAATGCCAAAGAGCAAAACAATTACAATATTTAAAAGGTAGAAAATACTTAATTTGTTCATTCTTTTATTTTCTATTTCACTTCTAACAATAATTCATGTTACAGATATAATTTTAATTATATTAATTAGAGATATTTATTGGCATTTTCTGAAGTTTACCATATCAAGATACATGATAAATTCATTTTAAATTTACTGTAAAAATGTAATAAAACTCTCCAACTATGATAATAAAAACATTTTTCAAATGAATAGAGGACTATGTTTTTAAAATTTATAATTAACAACCTACCCTTTTAACTTGTTAATATTAAGTGGAATGAGTCAGAACTAAAATTAAATCTATACAATTGTTATAGTTTACATCTTAGTAATTATTCAAGTTGAATTTTTTATGAAATATTTTCTACTGAGATTACCAATCAATGTTTACAATGTAGTCTTTAATACTGGACACACATAACTCCCAAATGTTAATGTAGTCTCTGATGTAAGACTTGAATTCACTCAGGAAAATTTGATGCATTGTGTCTAAAACACATAGTTAGCAAAGGAGATATAATCAAAATAAGAAAACAGTGAAACCCTGAAGCTTGTGTACATTTATTTGCTAAAATGTCAGAAGAGAATTACATGAAAGTTTAACTCACACTATCTTATTTTTTAAGTTGCTTATAGATTTTATTTACTCACAGTGGTACATGTAAATTAGCAAACCTATGATCTTTTCTCAGAAAGGTTAAATGCTTTTTTTATTCCAGAAAACTACATAAAAAATCACTTTTCCCTTTTGTCTAACACCAATTTTCTATTAAAATTTCATTTATGGACTATGCTGTCACCTTCACAGCTTGAGCGCTGGAGGAAAGAAGGGCTGCTTTCATCGTTCTTCACTGCAATATGGCCTACAGAACCTTCTGATTAGCTCACTTAAGCTTGACGTTTGTAAACTACAGTTTTTCCTCGATAAGAGATAACTTTGTCAGCATTTTAGAAGTTCATAACGATAATTCTATTCCTAGAAATTCAGAGAATAAAAACAAGATTTAGTGTTTATTTAAAGTTCAACAAAAGTTTAATGGTTTTCCTGTGAGTATGTTTTATAATTTTCACAGTCAAGTCGCATTTAATAATTTACTAAATTAAGAAATTTATGAGGAAGAATTCATAAGTATTTTTCAGAAAATCATATGATTCATTCTGTCAAGCATATAATTATTTTTCAAGCTTCTGATATCAACAAAATGATTTCCAGTTTTGACCAATTTTTTTTCACGTCACTATCCTGTAACTACAGTTGGTTCACCACCAGATCCAAGCAAAATTTGTCTTAATTGTAAAATTAGTGTTCATGTGGTTCTATATTATAGTTTAAAAAGTAAGTTCCTTACTTCTTCCTGTGCCTTGTGGTGTTCCTCTGCTGTCACTGAAATAACTTTTTCTGCAATTTTCTCTTCCTGTTTATCCAAGGCCAGGTTTAACTGGAATAAATAAATAAATAAATAAATAAATAAATAAATAAATAAATGGCACCCGTTTACACCTAACAGTAACATTTATTCAAACAGCTCATTTACCATAGAAAGAAATTTCAAATTAATTTGGCATATACTTATGTAAAAATGCACTCCATTGAAATTAAGTAAGTTGAAAGTTCATTTTTATATTTAAAGCCTTTAACACCGAACTTTTTACTTCCGCTTTTGTTGCTTTTAAATTTATTAAAATATGATTTGGGAGTAAGTCTTTCATTGCAGACATTTGACAATGATGGGTACTATTTAAAGGCACTTTATCAAAATGAGCATAGCAGCTTTTTAAAATTAGGCTGATATTTCCTATTAAAGTCTTTTATTGCCAGTAGGGAATAAATCGGATGCTGATATGTCAGGATAAGAACTCAAGATCATAAACCAAAGGCGAATGTTACTTCAAACACTCTAGAATGGTACCAAATGCATTAAAATATTTCACGACAAAGGATAATGTATCTTAAATACCTGAACAGTTACTTCTGATCTGCTCCATTTACAAAACCAGATAGAGGTATTTGGCTACTCCCACTAAACTTTGTTATAAAAAGGTGAATGTGGCCCATTCAATAATTTTTTATAAATAGTCCCCATGGAAACAAAGTACTGTTTTCAACAAAAAGAAAAAGCTAAACTCGCACAATAATATCACTCAGTAGATTGGCATTAACAGAAAGAAAGAAAATAGCCTGATACAGAATCCTCTGAACTGGAGGCTTAGACAGTTCTTAACTAATGGACTTGTCGTGTTGTGTCTCCTTATTGAAGATTAAAAATAAACAATCACCATGTTTTTTTGCTTTGTTTTATTTGTTTTGTTAATGTTGTTTTAAATAGGCTTTCTCAATTGTATGCTTGACAAATTATGTTTGAGTTAACATGAATCTTTAATCCATACCCTGCCTGAAGACCCACCCTAATACTTGGGATAAAATGGGGGTGGGGTCAACAATATGGCCTCCTCAATCTAACTATGCATATACATGTGCTATATGAATAATATCAAACCTGTAAACTTTCCATCCACTTATATGGGATACAGCTCAGCATATCAGAGATTTTGTTTTAGAGAGAAGAAAAGCCCAGGGATCTTTAGGTTTGTGACAATTAGCCTAGTTAAGTAGTTTACAAACATATGTATAAAGGCCCAGATTGTAAATATTTTAGGACTGGGTGGGGGATATATTCTCTGTTGAAATTACTCAACTAAGACCTTATAGCATGAAATAGACAACACATAAATAAATTAGTGTAGTTATGGCTCAATAAAACAAAAAGCAAACAAGTGACAGGCTGAATATGGACAGCAGGCAATACTTGCTGATCCCTGTCCTAGACTGAGAACCACTGGAAACAAAATTTTTAAAAATCATGTAATGTACAGCATGATGACTATAGTTAACAATGTCGTATGGTATATTTGAAAGTTTCAAGAGAGTAAATCCTAAGAGTTCTCATCACGAGGTAAAAAAATTGGGTTTTTGCCCTCTCTGGGTAGTTCAGTTGGTTAGAGCATCATCCCAACACATCAAGGATGTGGGTTCAACCCGCACTCAGGGCACATGCAGGAATCAACCAATGAATGCATAAATAAGTGAAACAACAAAAATCAATGTTTCTCTCCCCCTCTCTGTCCCTCTCTCTCTCTCTCAAATCAATAAATAAATATTTAAAAATAACACTGGGTTTTTTGGCATACCTATATGAGATGATGGATATTAATTAAACATATTGACATCATTTCATAATACATAAAAGTCATTATGCTATATACCTTAAACTTACACAGTGTCATCCGTCAATTATATCTCAACAAAATTAAGACTATTCTTAGAATCATCTTCCCCAAGGAATATTTTTCCTGGGCTGAAGTAATACAAAATAACATAATATTATAAAAAGCCAAACATCAAACTCAGCTTCCGTTCATGGAAACCTATCTGTAAACCGTGGTGCCACATACAGTGTCAAGGCTCCATGGTTATTTCTTTATTGGGGATTCTCACCTCAGAAGGAAATAAGTATGTTGGAGTGTGACTGGGGAAATATTCACCAAGCTCATCTATTCTTCACAAAATTAATTTCCAAATGAAAAAACATTCAGAGCAGATATTCTTCAAGTGAAGCAAAATAAAACAAAAACATAACCACAAAACTCTTTGATGCAACAGTAGTAAGTCAGATTCTAATAAGGTCCCTCAGGACCATGACACCTAGAACTGCTTTGAAGGAACTCTTTAAAAGGTGGGAATCCTTTAAAGAGCTACATTTGGAAAAATCACCTACATTCCAATACCCAACATTCAAAGAAATACTGGACTAATCTACATCAGCTTGAGGGGAAAACATTATGAACATTATTGAAGAGCACTATATGCATAGTATCTAACAGAGAATACAGCAAAATATTGGAGTTAAGTGGTCAACAAAATATAAAGATACACACATGGGGCCTTTTCTGGACACAGAGCAGCCATTCCCAAAATAAAAATAAAAAAAAAGAGAGAGAGAGAGATTTAATAAAATCAGTTAGAGAAAATCATTGAAAGTAAAAAGTCAAATTCAGAGAGTGCCTTTTCACCCTAAGGTATTAATAATATGCAGTGTTAATAGCATCTCTCCCTCGAGTCCCAGGACATGACAACAATACCAGGATTCTTCTCTTGTCACTTTGGAGGAAAGCATCCTGTTTCTTCATTAAACAAAACTTGATGATTTTGATCTGTTATTCTTATCTAAAATATATGAAATACTTTTTGTCAATGGGCTTGGAATTTCCAAGGTTAATTTTTTTGTGTATAAAGAGGGTATATGTGTTCCGTGCCACTGAGTCAGCTCTGACTCCAGGTGACCCTCTGAATGATGTCCTAATGTTCTTTCTTCAGAATAGAAACTTCACATTAACTTCGAATTAAAAAGCAAACAAAAAGGATGAACCCTGAAGGCATTGCCCTAAGTAAAACTTGTCTTGAGAGAGAAAGACAAATACTTTTTAAAGGCTAATTATGTAAACATTTTAACATATAGTAAGATAAAATGAAATCTATCTTACAGGAGAAAAATAGCTTTAAAGAAAACCATAGAGTCCAATCATTAGTATCTTTAGAAAAGGTACAGTAATCATATAACCTGCTATGTTCTGTCTATCTAATTCATATTGGCATTCCATTTAAGTACTAGCCAAAGGGGGAAGAAAGAGCCTATTAGTCCAACCAAACTCTCAGTGTTCTGAACTGTAGTTATGACTGTATTCAGAAGAACAGCTAATTATTCAAAGATGATGTATATGGTATGCATCGTGTATAAAGTTCTTAATAAATTGATTTAACCCAACAAGAAAATGAAATCTTTCTACCAATAATCTATTTTTCACCAGTACATATTGATTTATTAATATATTATTTGATCCATATTTCACAGATCAATATAGGTAATACAATTTAGCATAAACAACAGGACAATCAGCCTTCATATATATTGACAAGTTTCTCAATGGTCTGTTAATATACAAAAGACTGGGACAAATTACTTATTTATATATACAAAACATGGTTATAAAGGCCAGCTGCAGGTATTTTTTTTGGAAAGTGCATTTTAATAAGGTCCTATTCAGTCGGGGAACAAATGGGGAAGAAGTAGTTTGCACTACAGAGTTTAGCGCAAGAGCTTTCTCTTTTTCTAAGCACGAAATCAATCATTTGTCCAGACTGTGGGAGTCAGAGTTAGTTACTGAAAAGAGCTCCGTATATAAACAAGTCAATAACTCATTGTGTGTTATTGTCGAGCTGAAGAAGTCGGCTTTCAAAAAGCCGCCCCTGCTTCTCTCAGGATGAATGTCACTGTATTCTGGGACTGGGAGCGAGCCCTTTGTCTCCAGCCATTGCTGGCTGCCATTTATGTATGGGAACAGGAGGTGGCTGCTAGGAGTGTGGGGGAAGCCACTGTTTGGTATCATGGATGTCCAGGAAAAACTGAATTTTGTCAACCTAAACAATTTGTCTGGAAATGCATTCATGAAATTGATAAAGAATGGCCACATTAAAAAAAAAAATGTTTGGTAAAGGAATTAAATAATGAGTCTGTATCATTTTCAATTGGATTAGGATGATACTTTTGGTTTCCTACATGTCAACAAAGATAAAACCAAAATATACGCAATGGCTAGAAGAGATTCAGATGTACAAAATCAAACTAATGAATAGGTTAACATGTCAAATATATGTTATCTGTTCCTACTATCTGTTCACTAGTTAGGGTGATTCTTAGGACTCTCAAATGGGGTTTTCAAAGTGGTATGTGTGTGGGGGTGTGTGTGAATTTGTTTAAGGGATTAATTTAAGTGTTTAACACTTGTAATAAAGTTAAGAAATTTGAACTTTCTTGACATAGTATTAATTTAAATATCCTTTAGAGTTTAACTGAACCTAAGATGTATAAGATATAAATATCACAGTCTTGTTCAGTTCATCTTAAAATTTAATTGCAACCTACTATTTATTCAGAATCAAACTAAGAACTATGGAGAAACACCAAACAAAGATTCAAGGTTTAAAATTAGATTAGGCAAATAAAAAAATACATGTGGATACGTGTAATAAACGGTCCTCACAGGGGAGTGCTCTCTGCAATCTTTACACAATAGCTTAGCTCTCAGACAAAGTTGGCGTTGCAGGAAAGGAGAGATTTGGGGACTTAGAACTAAATCCAACTGATCTCATTTCCCCTCACAATTCAGAAGAGCACAGCATTGAATGATATAACCTCCTTCCACAGGCAACAGCTGTATTAGACATTTTTCTAGGTACAAATAGTGTAATAGCAAAGTGTGATATGGTTGAGGAGACAAATAAAAACAATAGAAAATGACAATCTATGTCATGAGGTGGGTCACAATTAATTGTTAAATGGAGGTAAAAAAAACAATACAATCTATAAGTATAAAGGACACA